CGGTGGAGGGAATTATTTTGGAGTATAGAGATAGTTTTATCATTTGCTTGGTCAAAATGGAGAATGGAGTAAAACGCCTTATACTCCATGCCTCCTAAATTAAAATGTATGTGTATTATTTACAGTATCAAATTTTATTAATTTTTATTTATTTTTAGCATTCATTTGATAATATAATATAGTTTTATTACCTCAAAAATAATTCTAAGCCAATATTATGTACAATGTACAAAACCCCGATATTATTGAAATTTCTCCGTTGGTAAGGTATCGTCGAAAAAGGTTCAAATTTTCTCCAGATTTGATTTTCCACGTAAAAGAAATAGTGTGTTCGTGTTTTTAGTGATTTGTTAGATTATATAAATATCTTAGTGATTTCTTATATAAAATAAATTAGTTAAGTGTTCTAAATAAATTTGAAAATAAAATAAATATCAAAACGGTAAGTGTTCTAAAATATATTAGAAAATAAATATGGTACGGTAAGTAAATGATACTATTTAAATACAAAAATAAAATAGAAAACTATAAATTAATACAATCAATTAATACGATAATTTACAAGCATGGAAACACGTAAAAATGGCAAGTGTTATAAAATAAATTAAAAAATAAATACGGTACATTAAGTAAATGGTACCATTTAAATGTTAAAATAAAAAAATTATAAATTAATACTATTAATACTATAAGCATGGAAACATATAACAATCGTAAGTATATATTCTAAAATTAATACTATTAATACTATAATTTACAAGCATGGATACGTGTAAAAATGGTAAGTGATCTAAAAAAAATACCATAGGGTAAGTTAATGGTACCATTTAAATACGAAAATAAAATTAAAAAATACAAATTCCAAAATAAATACATTAATATGTTAAATTATTACTTAGATAAGTCAAATTATTAAACTATTGTCAGGGACAATATCTGAAACATGTTGAATTATTGTTACGGAAACCGGTATTTAGTCATGGGCAAATGTATGTTGTAGTTTAAAGAGTGATAAATCACAATGGCTTGAAGATTCTGATATACAACGAAGTGAATGCTCACACAAATTATACGAGTGATGTAGTTTATAAAGAAGTTTTTCGAAATTTGTAAATCATTTTTACTTTTGTACTTTAAAATAATGAAGTCTCTATATTCCATTTTATACCAATTTATATTCCTAAAAATGATCTTAATTTAGTACCGTAACTATGACCCGTGCAACGCACGGGTGTGATACTAGTTGTAAATAATTCATCTGTGTTATTGCTAATTATTGCATGGTAACAATTAGCCGCGTTATTTGTAACCCTAATTGAGATTTTGATTGTCGGTGGACTTGCAGTGAAGAATGCTTTCAGAGACCCCAATAAATTTAAAATGGAAAAAGAGTACTCAAAATGTAAGTCAGCTTGTTTTTCTACGTAGGAGTGGCCCAAGGTGACCAGACAAGTGGGGAGTAACGATGTGAAAATATACTCTTTCTGTCCTTAAGTATTTGTCCAGTTTTGACTTTTTAGAGTCAAAATTGAAGAACAAATATTGATATTAGATATTCATACAAAAATACTTTTATTAGATTTGTTTTATAAAATATTTTTAAAATATTATTTTATCTAATCAATATATTTTATAGATTTTATTTAATTATAAATTAAATTACAAAAGAAGCAAGCTAGGTGTACACCACTTTGTACCCCAAAACTTAACAGTGGCATTTTGATGGCTCCACATTCAAAAATTATCGATCCTATTTGCATTTTGTGTGTGAACAAGTGTAAGTGGCTTAGTGCAATCTTTTGAGGTACAAAATGGTGTGGACCTAACTTTATTCTTTACACAAATCACACAATTTTACCATTTGAAACCCCCTTTAAAAAGTAAATATGAAGATTAATTACGGATAGAAAGATTATAAATTTATTTAATTGTTAGTCTTATCCCTTGATGGTTGATAATTGAGTAATTATTTTCATTTTATAAAAAAACATCCAAAAAACTCATTTTAGATTTTAGAACTCATATCATTTTTTTTAAATTTTAAAACTTGTTTCGTTCTTTCAAAATGCACCAAATGGCCCCGTAAAAGTATTCATAATAATTTTTTTTGCAAGGAAATATTATCCAGAATAATCTCAAATTTACCCGGTCATTCAAAAATAATTTCAACTTTCACTGTGATACATAATAATCCTAACTTTACTGAGATTTGTGGAGTTTGGATCACCGTTAAGTTACTAACAGCGAGTTAACACAAAATCTATTTTGCACAACAAAATGATAGTTGAGATTATTTTTTATGAATTTTTGTTTTTTGAAATTTTTTGAAATTTTCATTTAAATTTTTAAAATAACTTTCTACCTGCATCATTTATTTTTTTAAAGAGATTAGTCAACTTTGAATGAAAATAAAAAAATAGATATAAAAAATTATGAAAATGAGAAAATAACTAAAATAATACTCTCTCTATCCCAAAAACTCCTTCATTCTCTGGCTTTTTTTCATGAAAGGCACCACTATTCGATGTGACTGTCATGGGCACCTGGCATTCGCTGGTGGGCTGACTGCCGAGTTAAAAACTTGGCCTTTGGTCTGTTGGTGGGTTGTGCGGTGTGTATGAAGTTTGCGATGCGTAATTGTGTGTGAGATGTATTTGGTTTTCATGGTTAGGTTTGATCCTTGCTGTAGCAGAGAAAACTTGCCGTGTAAGCCTTTTCAATATGGTGGGCAACTTCTCATATTTGTTATTAACTTTGTATGTGATGTTCTAATTTTAAAATATATTTTCTTTATGCAATAATATCATATTTTAATATTAATAAAATATTTTATACCAAACTAGAATTTTCTTTACTTTTTGAATATTTCTCTTTATTGTAATTTAAAAGGCAAAGTTTCTTATTTATTTAAATTTTAAAATATCTACAGTTTTTTGGAGTTAAAATTTTAATATTCCATACGTCCCAAAAAGATCTACTCATTTCATTTTTTATGCATCCCATAAAACACTTTTATCTCATCTCAAATGCCAAAAAACTTTTAAAAATAACTTTTATCCACAATAAAGGGTAAATGTAGTAAATTTTAGGCATTTTAGATATGGGTAGAAGTGTTTTATGGGATCCACAAAAATGAAACTAGTAGATCTTTTTGGGATGGAGGGAGTAGATAAATAAACACGATGTTGCATAAACGTCTCTTCTAAAACATACTTAGATAACTTATAAAAACTCATTACACGTATCAATAATAGTTGATAATGATGGTGATCATAGTAATAGTAGTAATAATAATATTACGTGTTTTTTAGAATTTAAATTTTAGAAAATTTCTAATAAATCTTTAAAAATATACTCCCGTCTGTCCCTCTTTGTTTGTTCATTTTTGACTTTTAGAACTGTTCATCTAAGCATTTTGACTCATCAAATTCTCTCAATGTGTAAGCCTAAATATAGTCATGTGTGATCTTGTTTGATTTGTCTTAACATATAGATTATTAATATATAATTTCTATAATTTTTTAATATACAAATTATAAGATAAAATGGATTAAAGAAGTGCATTGGATGATGTGTAAAAATGAAAGTGGACAAATACTCTGAGATGGAGGAAGTATTATAGACAATTATTAAAATGTTATTGCTACTTATGTTTAAAATATGAAGTATCTTACAAATTATAATTTTTGAAAATGCTAAGGTTAAAAGTAAAATTTATAGAAAGCACGATTTAAAAATAAAATTAAAATATTCTCCATAAAATATTCTCCGTATTTTCATTACAAGGAAATTTTTTTGAGTTATGTGTTAAATATAAAGTTAATCAAGTATTAGACAAATTATGAGTCAATTTGGAAGCCAAATGGAATGTGACATATATACACCAGAAAGCTAAGTAGAACGTCACATGTTTGCTCACCAGCCGGATTCTTGAAATTCCAGCATTGGGTACCTTTTTGTTACATTTTTAAAAAGATGGAGTACTCTTCGTTACAAGTTGAAGATGTGATACCTTTTTGTTTCAATGTGCAAAGATGGGGTACCTCCTATAAAACAAGACTCATCATCCATTCTTTTTTTCTTGTCCCATAAAATCATTCCTCTTTCAATTAAAAAATTATTTTTACCCCTACTAATTTTTAACCTACCTATCACATCAAATCTTTTTACTAATAATCTACCCATCACATCATACTTTTACCCATCATATCAAGGATATTTTCTGAAAGTCAACACAAAAATATTCTTCTCTTAAATTTTCTTAAAGTCAAAATGAGAACAACTTTATGGGAAGGGGGAAGTACAAAATTAGTGAAATAAAAAAGACAATCAATAGAATTTAACTTGAAACTGGTAAGAAATAAAATAAAAATATACAGAGTGGTGTGTTTTAAAATTTTATGGACTATAAAGAGCACTAATGTACCACTTCTTGTAATGACTGGGTAGCTTTTGGATTATTCTAGATAATTTTTCTAAATTACAATTGAATGTACATAGATTTTGTGTGGAATTAAAAAATATAAATTCAATACACATAAATTTTGAATTTCATGGAATTTCATAGTAGAAATCCACCTACAATAACCCTAAAATTCTTCCCAATATTGGATTTTTAGATTTTACAATTCAAAATCTATACTATACTATCCTCCTATATACAATGCTAGGTGCATTTCTTGGTGAACAGTGTTCCCGCCTAAACTAAGTGGACCTTGCTGCGGTTTTGGGACTGCATTGGTAGACGGAAAATGGGCCTGCATTGGTATACGGAAATGGCCTGCTTTGGTGTCTATTCAAATCTCCTTTTTTGCTTTATGTCTATTCATTACCATCTTCCATAAAGTTCCATTGATAACATAAATTTGGTGGCTCCATAAAGGTAATTTAAAAAAAAAACTTACTTTGTGTCAAATCTATCTATTTTAAAGATTTTTAAAATCTAAAACAATTAATGCATGGTTACATGTATCATGGAGCATGATTATAAATACTCTAGCATTATGATGTAAACTTCATTCATTCCAAATTCACTTCTCAAACATCCAAAAAAATCATCAAATGTCTCAAACGTCTTTAAGCATGTGGTCTCCCGTTGGCGAGCTTGGCAACACTCGGCCGACTTTGATGTTCAAGTTATGGGCCGTGCTTGTGTATTTTGTTCCTGTTTGGACCAAAGGCGGAGATTCAATGGAAGTCGTTTTTCACGATGAACATGTATGACATTCCAAATTTTTTTGTACTTAATCGTAATTTATATATTAACTATTTCTAATCTAAACTCTCTTTGTTTGTATAGGGCGCAAGGATTCACGCACATCTCAAAAAACCGGAAAAAAAATGGTTTGAGAATCAAATTGTGGAGAATGGTGTTTATGGGATTCGGGATGTTTTTGTTGGAAAACATTTTCATTTTGACATTTTGCTAATGACAATGTTTGTTTCCGTTTATGTTTTGATATTGACAAATCGTCGGGAACATTGAACAAAATGAAAAGATTCAAAGAGATTGAAAAAGTTCTTTGAAGAAACAAAAAGTACAAGAAAGGCATTGACGCTTCTAAAGATGACGACATTGGAGCTTTGAAGACGTATTCTAAATACTCAGGTTTTTATTGTAACAAGCTCATTCAATTTCTCTATGTCATGGCTCAAAACAAAATATGTTTTTCATGCATCAAATGAGTGTTTTCATAAATGGTTCTTAAGTTTCTAAAACCCATGGTTCTTGCTTAACCAAAACCATAACCATCGGCTATCGGCGTTCGGCTATGGCGTTCGGTTTTCGGCATTGGTTATTGGCAATTGATTTTAACCAAATGGTTTTTGGGTTTTTATCTTTGGTTTATGCTTCTGGACACATTTAAAGGTTTTCCAAATGATTAGTTTTCAAAAACCATAACCTTTGTTTTTCGGCGTTGGTTATCGGCATTCGGTGCCGGCTATCGGTGTTGGTTTTTGGTGCCCAAATCAATCAAGTGGTTTTTAAGATTTTATGATTGGTTTTTACTTCTGGGCATATCCAAATAGTTTTCCAACAAAAACATGTTAAAAACCACCTTTCGTTTTTGGTCTTTTGGTGAAAACCATGTAGAACGGCATAAACTTGGCTAGCCGTGGTTTTTACCTTAATGAAGTGGTTTTTACGTTTTTTTATACTTGGTTTCTACCTAAAATACATTATATAAGAGTTTCCAACTCTTGGTTTTCATTTTGGAGAACTTTGGTTTTTGACATCGGTTTTCGGCGTTGGCTGCCAAACCATGGTTCTGGCAAACCATCCCGACATGCATGTCGGAAATCCCGACAGCGATGTTGGCCTTCAGAAGCCCTGGGCAGTAAGTTTTTGAACAGCGATGTTTTCAAATGACCGTTAGGCTATTTAAGACAAAATCTTTCCATTTTTGAAAGTCAAACACCCCAACAGCGATGTAGACTTCTAGACATCGATGTTTTGGTGACCGTTAGCCATTTTTAAAGGAAAGTCAAAGCCAGAACAGCGATGTTCACTATATGAACAGCGCTGTCGGGCTAGATTTCAGCAGATCCACTTTTATTTGATTTCCACAAATCAAGCTAATCAACCCCAATCTTTTCCCAACCGTTGCACCTTGTTTTTGGGTATAAAAAGGGGTCTCTTGGGTCTACTTTTCACAACCATTCCACACACATTTCATAGCTTTACATTGCATCATTCCATAAACTTTTTACATAGCTTTTTAGAGCCATTTCTTGAGGAATTGAGTGTGTTCTTGATCTAACTTAGTTTACTCATATTCTACTCTTTAAGAGAGTTTTTGTTCTTGAGTGGTTAAGTGTTGTGAACACTTTAAGGGAGGTTTGTTCCCTTGGTTGTACGAAGGAAGGGCATATTCCTTCGAGTTGAAGTCTTGGAGTGTGGTATCTCCGAGCAAGTGTATTGAGGCTCGTGGGACTCGAGTTCTCAGGTTGTAACGGTTTGTTAAGCACCCGTAAGCTTAACGGAAGTAGTGTAGCTCGAGAGAGTCTCTCGAGAGACTGGACTAGCCACACGTTGTGGTGAACCAGTATAAATCTTGGTGTGCTCTCTTTACACTTTTTTACGCTCTTTACTTTTTACGTTCTTTACTTTATCCCTACGATTTTTATTCCGTGAAAATTTATAAACATTCTCGTGCCTCACTATTCACCCCCCCTCTAGTGAAGGGCACTTATTCTAACAGTTTTTGTTCATGACAATTTCCAATCCGTCAAAACTACCTCAAATGAGAAACTTTTGGGTTTTTACGCAAAAACACAAGTCAAAACATTGGATGGAAGCGATTTTCCACGCTTCATGTTTGATTTGAAATCTTTTGCAACAATTCAAAACCAACCGATTTTGAATGATCAAGTGTTGATTGGTACTAGATTATTTTTTAAACAATTTATCAAAGTATCATAATATGCAAACATTGTTGAAAGATCATTCATACACACAAACTCATCGAGAAAATCAATGCAGATGTGATTGGGAAAATTGTTGGCCGGTCAAAAGTTCAAACACACATAAGAATGGGCGTAGAACAAAAGTTGATGGAAATAACACTAGAAGATCATGAGTATGAAAAAACTTTGATATGAAATGTTCTTATAACATTAAACATTCACTTTTGCTTAAGTATGTGAAAATTTCAGGGGTAATCGTTTGGGATGTACCCTATGGGGAGAATATGTGGAAAGATTTTTGGGTTGTTTGACCCAAAATGTGCAGGAACCGGTGATTCTACTCTTGAGTTTTTGCAAACCAAAACGTTACATGGGTAAGATATAATTCCTCAAACTTTAATTGCAATATAAATTTTATAATTGTGTAACTAAACATAAATTCTTTGATGGCAATTCCGCTGAGGTCAATGCATTCAGAGCAAGGTAAAATTTTTTTATATTATTTTTTTTTCGGCCGAAATAATTTTTTTTCGTCTACTAACTATCTACTAATGAAATATTGTAGGTTACCATTACATGTTGATGATGGGGGTCCCGTGGGTGGTCTCATGCTAGCCGGGGGAGATGATGATGATCACGGAGTTATGTCTATAACCACCATTAGAAATCTGTTGGAGACAACTAAGGTAATAAAATAACACTTTCACGTTGAGAACGAAAAATATAATACACTTAGACCTAACAATTATTGTGAATCTATTGACAGCCTGGGCCATATTGGATTGTTGGTGAAATAACATCTCTTGAAAATGTTGCTGATTGGTGTTATTTGGGATGTACTGATTGCAACAAGAAAGTAATCCCCGATGGCGAGAGTTTCAGGTGTTCCGGATGTCGCATTACTGTTCCTCATGGAGTTTACAAGTAACTATTGTTTAAGGTAGTGTTTGCCAACTAGTATTTCATTTCAATTGATGCATTTCAATTCCAAAATTTGAAATTCTGAATTTTAAATGATAAGGGGAGGTGCATGGATTTCAAATTAAGCTTTGTTTTGAATGTAAAGAATTTGATTCAAATCCAAATTCAAAATGCTTAAGTTTCCCAAACATGGAATTTAAGCCAAATCCGAATTTGAAATCCAAATGCATGTTCCCAAACATACCATAATTTCTTTTTGATTAATTAAAATTACAAATCATTTATGTTGCTATGTGACGTATTGTTAATGCACGTTTTACACTTTATCAAATAGGTTCAAAGTTAATGTTCGTGTTTACGATTCAACCGGTCATGCCTCATTCATTCTTTGGGACAGAGAGTGCAAGAATGTCTTGGGTGCAAGCGCCTTCTTATTGAGAGAGATTATGCTCGAGGTTATTTTCGGAATCTATAACAACAACAACAACCCAGTTGAATCCCACTAAGTAGGGTCTGGGGAGGGTGTGTGTACGCAGACCTTGCCCCTACTCGGAAGTAGGGAGGCTCTTTCCAAGATTTTCGGAATATATATTTCATAAAAAAATTGTGAAAGTAGTATATTCATATATCTAATTTTTTTAGATTATTGTTTTTATTTTCAAAGAAACATGGATCCTAATTTGCTCCCAACCGAATTGAATCGCTTCCTTGGACAGAAGTGTTTGTTTAATGTTCTCTTGAAACCAGAGGTTGGTAGTCCACATTGGACAGGGCCAAGAGCTTTTGGTGTTAGATCTTTGGTCACTGACCCGAAGTTCTTGAAAAACTATGAACATGTTGCATTTGTGGAGGACAAGGAAGCCGAGGAAGAAAGTGAAGGCTGGTGGAGTTCACTAGAAGATTTGAGCCAAAAAGTGAATGAAGTGGTATAATGCTTTTACTTCTATCTATTTGTTTTTTTTAATTATTTTCTACTCTTCTAATTATTCCTAAATTTTAAAAAAGATTGGTACAAGTGAACCGAGTTCAAGCCAGAGCGTGAACACAAGGCCAAGAAAGATTGATGATGTCGATGAGAATGATTCCGTGAGAAGAGGATTATTTGATGAACTAGACGGGCAATCATCAAAGAAGAAGGCCGAAATGATTCACGAGGATGTGTGAATGTTTAAGGACGGCTATGTAACCCCATTTTGGACAACCCTTTTTGTCTTTTGTTTAATGTTGTCTTTATGTTTTTGGGGTTATGAAAGTGTTTGTTAGTCCATTGTTGTTTTCTTAATAGTTTGGTACAAGTGAACCGAGTTCAAGCCAGAGCGTGAACACAAGGCCAAGAAAGATTGATGATGTCGATGATTATGATTCCGTGAGAAGAGGATTATTTGATGAACTAGACGGGCAATCATCAAAGAAGAAGGCCGAAATGATTCACGAGGATGTGTGAATGTTTAAGGATGGCTATGTAACCCCGTTTTGGACAACCCTTTTTGTCTTTTGTTTAATGTTGTCTTTATGTTTTTGGGGTTATGAAAGTGTTTGTTAGTCCATTGTTGTTTTCTTATCCTAGACATTCTCCTTAAGTATTTTGTATGTTGAACTCTTAAGTTAGAAGTGTTTTTATAACACTTTAACTATTATGAAAGCTATTCGAAATGCTATCATTGGGTCGTAAGAAAATGAGAAATTTGCATTCTTTTTGTATTCTTATATTCAATATAAAAATTTACATGTATACCAACTTACAAGCTTTAATATAATATCATTGTGCTTATATTCAATATAAAAATATACGTGGGCATATTTTATCACTCCATTATGGAAAAGTCAATTCAATAAACTTATGGAAAATACATTAGTACTAATGGTGTATACAATTAAAAATGTGTTATTAAATATGTTATTAAATTGGGTGTGTTGCCCAATGTAAAATTAATGTGTTATTAAATATTGTTTTTGTAACACCCCGGCCCCCACCCTGGCCGTAAGTGTCCGCTCATAGGATTGTAGACTGGCCCCCACAAACCAACACACGTCTTTCCTGCGCACTTTGTCCTCACTCGTGCGCGCCCAAGGAATTTCCCAGGGGGGTCACCCATCCTAAAATTACTCCAGGTCAAGCACGCTTAACTTTGAAGTTTTTTAGGTGATGGGCTCCCGAAAAGAAGATGCACCTTGTTGGTATGAGTAGTACTATCAATCCTTTTGAGCTCTTCCTATTCTCATCTTGATACGGGGTATTACAGTTTTGAAACCCAAAGTGTAATAAATGTTAAATTTATGGCAAGTATTGAGATATTCAGCTTGATAAGTTCGGGCATCCATCTTGATAGGGTTTCCGATAAGTTGTGAGATGGAAAGAAGGGCCCTAGGATCTTGAAGATGTATTGGTATCTTCTTGATGGTAACCCAAATGGGAAGTTTTGGATTATCAATAGATTGGAGATAGTGAGGAGTCCATTTTGAGAGGTAGAGCCGACACCCATTTACTAACCATGTACGCCGATAAAGAAGCTTGTAGAAGTCTTCTTCGTCCAGGAAGTTAATGAGAACTTGTGATTGGGTTAGAGAGCTGACCTTAAAGCCTCCAAATCTGACCCGTTGCAGACTATCTCCTATTTCATGGTTTGGAACTGGTTTTGCCATCCTTCCAATTACACCATATTTGAACTTGCTAGACAGCTCAAGGATTTCATCATGGGAGAAAGTAAGCACAGGACCTGCTGCCCCCTCATTCTTGATTTGCCCAAGGAAACTTTCTTTTACACTCCTAGAGCCACACGCACTGCATTAAATGCGATTTTACTACCTTCATTATGACCTAGGCCTATTCACTAATTTCCTTTATTTTGATTAAATGGACTCTGCGAAATATTTGATTTATGAGGTGTGTGGCCCAATGTGTATTAAATGTGAAGTTACACATTGGTGGGTGGCCCAATGCTCCTTTATTTAATGGAAATTCGAAAAAATTAATTTGTTAGTTGTGTGGCTCAATGTGTAATAAATATCATATTTTCCAAAATCCCATTGAAGTGACTTCTTTAAAAAAAAGTTAAGTTGTTTTAACACTCCTAGAGCCACACACCTGGGACTGCATTAAATGAGATTTTACTACCTTCATTATGACCTAGGCCTATTCACTAATTTCCTTTATTTTTAAATTTTCGAAAATATTCAATGATATAATAATATAATTTAATTGAAATAATTTCATGGAATTTTTGAAGGTTAAAAATAATTACTTAATAAACACGAGATTATGATTTAGAAATAAAATAATACACTGACATATTCTAGATAAATTATACACGAAATTTTCAACATACATGTATATATGATAAAAAGATCGAAATTAATAATTATTAAACATGAATAGCATAATCCAATTTTTAAATTCATGTCTCCCTAAACGTTGAGCCACACACCTATCTTCACCTAGGCTTTAGTTCCTTGCATTTAATACACTATATAGGATTGCAAGTATATTAGTGTTTCCTTCTAACTTACCTCATTTATTTCTCAACCTCCTAACCAATTACCTCATTGAATATTCTATTGAGCATTCAAGACTAGCATTTTTTTTCAAGACTAGCATTAAATTCTTACTTTCTAAGGTTAGTAATTTACACTATACTGATTTGAAAATGGTTTTAAGAAACAAATATGTTTTGCTTCGTGGGTCTTGACTTATTATTCTTAAAATTCCTAAAAGACTAATGTTTCAAATTTATTGAAAATGCCAGTGACTGAAAAAATCAGTTTTGGAAAATATTTTCAAATCACACTTCTGAAACATGGACTAAAAATGATTTATTTCGATGATAAAATAAAATTATCAATAATCCATGTTACTTTTGTAATTCGGCAAGCTCATTTAGTTATATCATTGTAATTCAAACAGGATACCTGTGATAAGTGTCTCCGCGATGAGAAAGCTCACGAAATCTGAAAGAATATTTTCAATACATGATTCAGAAGAGGAATTGGACAAAGGTAACTTCTATTGCTTACATAAATTAATAAAGAAAAAATTAACATATATATATATATACACTTAAAATAAATAAAAATATTTCATTACCTGTTTAAATGACATACCAGCCTTGACGATGTCTGTCTACTTTTAATTTTCTGCCTTAATAAAACTTTCAATGTGCAATAGAACCTTTATCATGTTCAACATTTCTTATTGAACATGGTCAATAAGGTTCAATGGCTTTTTTGTAAACATTCATCTATACTCCCTGTTTTAGATTATTATTTTTTAACATTAGCAGTGAATATTTCGCGTTTAAGACTAAAGATGTTTGAGAAAACTTCAGAAAAATAAGAACTTTCTAATTATTCTTAAAAATTATTTGTACAAAAAAATTCATTTTTTGAATTTTTTTTCAAAGCACTTAATCTGAAAATAGGTATAGGAATAATATCATACATCTACGAATGAGAGTAAAAAGAATTGATATGTTCTTTTAAAAATTATGAAATTCACTTCGAAAATATGAATTACTGGAAAAATATTAATTTCTTCAACAAGATAGGCGTTTTACAGAGATTATAATCGATTAAATATACTACTCTTTTCACAAACAAATTTGAAAAAATAGATATGTACTTTTAAGAACACATTTTCAATAACCGGAGTAAAAAATATTCTTGATAAACTAAGAAATTATATGCACGTCGTTTGAATTACTCAAAATATTTTAATGAAATATTTTTATAAAATGATTTTTTTAAAAAATATGAGTCATCTAACAGCTAACATGCATCTAGGAGTAAGATCCTAAGAATTTAACAAAGAAGAATAAAGGAAGATATTCAGATCTAATATTTCATAATAATCTTTGAAAAAAGGGAGTATACAATCATGAAGATAATCCGATGGAAATATAACAAAAAAATTTCACCGAAATTACCCCTAATTCAAATCATCTACCGTCCTTGAACCAACACATCTTCAGATCGCCGCAATCGATCTACAATCACATCGCTATTGTACGGAGATTATAAAGCGGCGTGTTCATAATATTGGAGACATAACATCCCAATTAGAGGTCGGCGGTTGGAAGAAATCGCCGATATAGGGATTTTGGGAGAGAAGGGATAAGGCAGCGATTTCTGTGGACGGCCAGTGGGAGAGAATGGATAAGACGTAATATAGTAGGGCATAAAAACGGCATATTGTACTTGGGCCGGTTTTAATTAATATTTGGGAATAAAATTTTGGGCTGGATTTGGTTTTTGGACTTTAATTTGCAATTTCAGTTTTGTACTTGGACAAAAATTTTGGGTGGGAGTAAATAAATTTAGGCCCAATTAATAAAAACTTTATTTTGTGCGTGAACAATATTTGTTCCGCTTTCATATGCCCGAAATTTGCAATTTATATCTTAATAAATGAATTTTTTTCCTACATATATAGGAGGAATTGGAAGTTTAATTGAGGCATGTTACAAGTGCAAGAGTAACGAGAATTCACTTGATATGGAAATGTGTTGGATTTGCAAAAATGTTTCTGGTAATCTTCGCTGCCTATGCATTGGTGATGTTGGGTGGGGTATATATTTTAAATGTGATCTTTGTGCGCTTTTTCCACCGCCACCACCAACTTCACAACCTATGCCACCCATAATGTTTGCACTACCACCACCAACTTCACAACCTATACCACCCATAACGTTTGCACCGCCACCACCAACTTCACAACCTATGCCACCCATAAAGATTGCACCGCCTCTGCCACGTTTGATGACTACAACGCTGATGATGCAAGTGACAGTTACACTGCCGGAATTGAGAAGATCTAAGCGGATTAAGACAGCAAATACAAAATATTTTAATGATATTTATGTCACTTACTAAAAAAAATATTATGTATTGGAATGGTTAGTACCATATTCAATGTTTTTGTTTTTTGTACTAAACTAAATGTTAGCTATTTCTAAAATTCTACTGTACTCTTCAATTGATGTATAATGATCTAATTATTGTAATGCGTCAATGCTTATTATTAACATCAATGAATGTATTTCAACATCTATTATGCAGTGGCTATTCTATACCTTACTTATTTTAGGAATGTTTTTTTTCCGTCTTTTAAATATATTCTTATATATATATATATTTGTTAAAAATTATGTATGTTCTTTTGAAAACTATATATATTAATGAATTCACTTTTACATTTAATGACGTATGTAGAAAATTCAAGAAATACTCCGTTAATAGAAAAATCCAGATCGTTGCGAATAAACAGAGTTAATTACACTCCTTCTCCCCTTAGCAACTTAACAAACGGTAAATATATCTATTTGAATTCTACACGTTTATTTTGTAAAAAAAGATTTTATGTGTTAACATAAGCGTTGATTTATTCGATTATAATGTCAGTTTGTACACCGTTCGATCGCTTCTCTTATGCTACATCAAGCTCTGTTCATGCATCAAGTGAATTGCAAAAACATGATAACCTTACTCCACCTCAAAGTTGTATTACACAAAGAAAGGTTTGTAATACAAGAAAATGATCATTTCAATTAGGTACGTTCAATGTTTATTTGTTAAGCATTACGTACTATTAATATTCTTTTGTATTTTATATTATGTCGCTATTACAATGCCCAGTGAATGAAGAGAGCCAATATTCTTTACCTCCAACTGCCCTTATGAACGACTTTATTACACAATCTTGGGCTGTAGATTCCGATTTGCGTCACGACAATAACGATGTGTTTCAAACAGAAGTTGTTAGAGATTTGGATATGGACTTTATTGATTCAATAGATTCCAACCAAACCCAATGCGTTATGTCAACGAGGAAAAAGATTTTTCAAAAAGTTGATTTTTGGGACATCGGTGATTGTAGTTACAGATGTATGAACTGCAATGCCTTCTTTTGGCTAGAAGAGCGTGTTCTAGGTCATTCCACCAAAAAAGATCCTAAGTATTCCCTTTGTTGTAAACACGGGAATATTAAATTAGCTCCAATCAAAGAAGCACCGATGCCTCTAAGGGAATTCATCATCGGAAGAGATGCAGAGAGTAAGCACTTTCAAACAAATATTCAGTCGTATAATTGTATGTTCTCTTTCACATCACTTGGTGGACGTATTATTAGAGATTCAACTCCCGGTATAGGGCCTCCAGGTTTTAAGCTAGGAGGGCAAAATTATCATCGAATTGGAAGCTTGCTACCGCCCGATGGCATTGTTCCGAAATTTGCGCAGTTATACATTTATGACACGCAAAATGAAGATTTCAATCGAATCATGTCTGTGAGGTATATGTTATATTATTCATAATTTAACACCATAGTTAAAATCCGAGTCTCTTATAGACATTAAGGTTTAATAATGGTTTCAAATTTTAATTTGATGTTTACTTATAGGAAAGAAGACAATGCTCACACATTGCATGTCGACATTGTTGCCAAGCTTAGAGCAATGTTAGATGCTCACAATGTATTAGTACAGTCCTTTCGGATGATTGGCCAAAAGGATAAGTCATTCCACAGATTTAGAAGTCAAGTTGAAGTTAATTGGGAGGAGAACTTCAGACCCAAGGGTTTACAATTTACCATCAGTTGGTGAAGTTGCAGCTTTAATTGTTGGAGATCTTGATAAGGCTTTAGGAGAGAGGGATATTGTGGTTCAAACTTATTCAGGTCCGTTGAAACACATAAGTGAGTTACATGCAGCATATCTGAGTCTCCAATATCCACTATTGTTTCCATATGGCGATGATGGTTATCGAGAGGATATACCATTTGCAGATAAAACATAGCTAAAGATTGGTGGACGAAGAAGCGTTAGCATCAGAGAATTCCTTTCTTATCGTTTACATGAGAGGGATAACGAAAGTTCATTAATATTGCGATCACGACGACTATTTCAAGAGTTATGTGTTGATGGTTATATAATGGTTGAGTCATCTAGATTGACGTACATCAGCACACACCAGAAAAAATTACGCTGAGAGATGTACAATAGATTTTCTGATTCGCTGGTGCAAGGTGACAACGATACGGCTACTAAGGGGAAAAGAATTATTGTACCCCCTACGTTCGTTGGGGGCGCCCGTTACATGATTCAGAATTATCAAGATGCTATGGCAATATGCCGTTGGACTGGCTATCCAGATTTGTTTCTAACGTTCACTTGCAATCCAAAGTGGCCAGAGGTTCAGCGTTTCTTGCAAGGAAGAGATTTAAATGCTCAAGATCGCACAGATATTGTTTCTAGGGTGTTTAACATGAAACTAAATGGTTTGATACGAGATTTAAAGAAGAATAAGATTTTTGGAAGAATTAGAGGACGTAAGTACCATTTAATTATCTGCTTTATACTATATGTAATATATTCTTATTACAAAAACACTTCTAATTTGTGTACCACTATTTTAAATGCAGTGGTGTATACTGTCGAATTCCAAAAGCGTGGACTACCACATGCTCATATCTTATTGTTTTTGGGTCAAGAAGATAAATTCCCCACTCCTAAAGATATTGATGAGATCATATCTGCGGAATCGCCTGATGAATTGAAAGATTCAGCATACTTCAAAGCTGTTCAAGATTTCATGATTCATGGACCATGTGGCTCTAATTCACCAAACTCACCTTGCATGAAGGATGGCAAGTGCTCTAAATATTTTCCAAAGGAATTCAATGATGAAACAAATATTGATAAGGATGGTTATCCCAAATATCGGAGAAGGAATAATGGGCGGACAATAATGAAGAACAATGTTGAGTTGGATAATAGGTTTGTAGTCCCCCACAATAGATATCTGTTGATGAAGTACGGGCTCACCTAAATGTTGAATGGTGCAATCAATCACGTTCGATCAAATATTTGTTCAAGTATATCAACAAAGGCCACGACCGTGTCACCGCAGGATTTTATGCTAGCACAGAGAGCAGAGATAAAGAAACAACAGAGACTCCTAATGAGATTAAAATGTACTATGATTGCAGATATATCTCTCCTTGCGAGGCAACATGGCAAATATTTGGATTTGCAATACAGTACAAATGTCCCAATGTGGAACGCTTAAGCTTTCACCTTCCTGGTGAACAATGGATTTTCTTTGAAGATGATGATGACGCAGGTGAAGTTTATACTCGAGAAAGCATACGAGAGAGTAAATTTCTTGCCTGGATGAAAGCAAATGAAAAATATCCTGATGCAAAGACTCTAACGTATGCCGAATTCCCCCAAAAATTCGTTTGGAAGCAAGCTAAAAGAGAGTAAGAACCTCGACAAAGGGGGTTTGCTATTGGACGTGTTGTGTACGTCCCACCAGGCTCTGGTGAGTCTTATTATATGAGAATTCTTCTAAACATTGTTCGAGGTCCCACTTCGTACGAAGATTTGAGAACTGTCAATGGTGTTATTCATAACACCTATCGTGATGCATGCTATGCTTTGGGATTACTAGACGATGACAGGGAGTACATCGATGCTTTTAAGGAAGCAAGTTCTTGGTGTTCAGCCAAACCACTGAGATTCTTATTTGTTACACTGCTAACAAACGAATCAATGTCTAGGCCGAAACATGTGTGGGAACAATGTTGGGAATTCATGGCTGATGACATTCTACATCGTCAAAGAAGTCTTCTAAGTCATCAAGGTATTATATAACTAATATTTATTTGTATTTTAAACAATAATCTCTTTAACTAACTTTAGTCACATTTTCTTCAGGTTTGGTCTTAACTGAAGAACAAATCAAAAATTATGCCTTGATCGAAATTGAGATGTTACTTAGGATGCGAGGCAAGACTCTTCGAGATTTCATTGACATGCCTTTTCCCATTCTAGATGCAGCTTCAACAACTCGCAACAGATTAATTCTTGATGAATTACAATATGATCGGCATGCATTGAATGAGGAACATCAACAAATGATGGGACAGTTGAATGACGAACAACGTCACGCTTATGAAACTATAATGTCGTCAGTCGACTCTGGTCAGGGGAAGATTTTTTTCATTTATGGTTATGGGGGAACTGGAAAGACTTTTGTTTGGAAAACTTTGTCTGCTTCCATACATTCAAGAGGAGATGTTGTGTTAAATGTTGCTTCGAGTGGTATTGCCTCATTATTATTACCTGGGGGAAGAACTGCTCACTCGCGCTTTGGAATTCAAATTACTCCCCATGTAAATTCCACTTGCAACATTAAACATAAAACACCTCTTGCAGATTTATTGGTTATGAGCAAACTTATAATATGAGACGAAGCTCCAATGACGCATAAATACTGTTTCGAAGCCATGGACCGAACTCTACGTGATGTAATGAGTGTAGTTTGTCCATCAAATTCAAATCTTCCATTTGGAGGAAAGACGATTGTGTTTGGAGGAGATTTTCGACAAATTCTACCCGTCATACCTAAAGGAAGAAGGCAAGACATTGTCAGTGCTACGATTAACTCTTCATATTTGTGGAAATATTGCACGGTCTTACGCTTGACAACTAACATGAGCTTACAACACATGTCTCGCGATGACAAATTTGAGAGCATGAGAGAATTTGCAGAGTGGATTGCAAGTATCGGTGATGGTCTTGCTGGGCGAGAAAACGATGGAGTTGGGGAGGTAATTATCCCAGAAGATATGTTGTTAAGAACTATTGATGACCCTATTGCATCTATTGTAAAAGAAACTTATCCAGACTTCCACAATATTGCAAATGATCCAACATATTTGCAAAGTCGAGCAATCTTGGCACCAACACTAGAAGTCATGGATGAAATAAATGAATACATGACGTCATTAAACAACGTCGGAGAAGCAAAAACTTACTTGAGTTCTGATGCAGTGTGTAAATCAGATTTAAACGTAGACTTCTTGACGTACATGCATTCTCCTGAATTTCTGAATAACATACGAGCTTCTGGTGTGCCAAACCATGAGTTGAAGTTAAAGATCGGAACACCAATCATGTTGTTGAGGAATATTGATCAATCTTCAGGTTTGTGTAATGGGACAAGGTTGATTGTTACTCGACTAGGCAATCATCTTATTCAAGCTACGGTGCTTACGGGGAAAAATATTGGACAAGAAGTTGTTATCCCACGGTTGCTGCTTACACCGTCCGATACCAGGATTCCTTTTAATTTTCAAAGGAAACAATTCCCAATTATGATTTCATATGCAATGACAATTAATAAAAGTCAAGGACAGTCATTGTCGCATGTTGGGCTTTTATTAAAGAAGTCGGTATTCAGCCATGGCCAGCTTTAAGTAGCGCTTTCACGTGTCACAAATCGCAGAGGTTTAAAGATCTTGATATGCAATGAAGACCCAGCTAAGATAAACCAAACTGCCAACGTAGTTTATAAAGAAGTCTTCCAAAACTTATAATGTAACGTTTCCAATATCTATATTATTGTATACTTCATCCTCTCAAATATTTCGTTATATATTCGTATTTTAATTCAGTCCTGTTGAATTCTAACCTCAATACATTCAGTTATTTTTTTAACTTTTATTTTTGGCCGTGCAACGCACGGGTTCGAGTCTAGTCTATACAAAAGTAAGAGAAATGGAAAAAAAGAGAAATGAAAAAAGTGTTTTCCCGCCCAAAGAGCTGTGCGTTCTCATCCGTTGATTAAGTTCCAATCGGCAACTGGATTATTTCATGGGGAAGCGCATGCATTACAGTCGGTGTAATAAATTTGATTGGGCCGTTGGATTAGTCAATAGCTTTGATCAAACATTGGGAATAGGCAGTCATTCGATAATCCATAACATGCAGAGACAATCCATTCGATAATTAAGTTATTGAGGAGAGGTCATACCACAAGAAGGCAGATCGAAGGGTATTGGTGGAGGGTTCACCATCAAAGCATAATCTGTGCAGACCAATTGTCTATGATCATAGTCAGATGTCACCTCTTTGGATTCCCCTTCGTCGCTCTCAAATTCCAGATCTGATTCATCAAACATCGCCACATCCCCGTACTTCTTACGATACTTCCAGGTTGGGTCTGTATCAGAAGTAGAGGTCGAAGGAGTAGGATAGCGACGCTTCAATCCTCGTCCAGATCCACCAATTTGGGGGAATATACCTCGCGAGGGTGATTTCTGTATCAACAGATTAAAATTGGGATATGAGGGATCTGGATTACCCATAGATTAGGGAGTGGAGAAGACGAAGATTGTGGCAGAGAGGAATTTGAGAATGTCGCGGAGATGAAGAGATTACGGAGAAGACGAAGATTGAAGATGAGAGATCAGATGGAGAAGACGAAAGAGTGTGGTGAGAATGAGAGGAATCCGGATAAGGATTCTGATGCACAGTTTGAAAAAGCAGGGGTATAATAGTCTTAACACACCAATTTACTTTCCATTATTAGAAGTGTGATGAATTTTTTGGGACGAATGAAAAAGAAAAGTGTGACAAATATTTAGGGACGGAGGGAGTATTACAATACCCGTCTATTTTTAATGAGCATTTCTCCATGTGTCCCATCGTTTTTTTATTCAAAAATGCTAGGATACCCCATTTCCTCATTGGTACCCACTCTATCCCCACCATACAAAAGTAAGATAGAAACAAAATTAAAAATAAAAAAAGAAATGGAGGGTAAAATCGTGATGATGTATAATGTACAAATGAGGTATATTATTTGGTGTACCCCTAGCATTTCTCTTTTTTATTTTATCTTCCCACAGGGCTCATAGCCTCAGGCGACCTCAGAGCAGTAGATGTCAACAAACTTAATACAGAGATTGACCCACACCTGGGACTTCGATTGGATTTCGCTCTCAGACAAAGGCCGTGTTTGGAAAAAAGCATTTCGGATAGCTTTTGGCATCTTTGACTGACTTTGGCTTTTTTGACCAAGCGAACCGCCAAAACCATTGTTTGGCTAATGGCTTTTTCACTTAGCATTTTGATTCGAAAAGCCAAAATCTGAAATGCGGAAGTAGCATTTGGACTTGGCGGTTAGGAAAAATAACTTTTTAAAATCATTTTTGTTGAAAGATATTTTACAATATATGTAAAAAATAAAAATAAAAAATAAAAGTTAAAAAAATTAAATACTAAAAAAAATAAAATTTAAAAATTAAAAATTTCAAAAAATGAAATGAGAAAATAAAAAGTAAAAATCATTAAAAAAATTATATTAATAATTTATTATGAATTAAATGAAATTAAAATTTAATACTCCATATAGTAAAGATTTAATTTTTACATGTAAAAAAAATGAAAAATAAATATCGTGTGTGTGTGTGTGTGTGTGTGTGTATATATATATATATATATATATATACACACACACGCACACACACACATACATATACATACATACATACATACATACATACATACATACATACATACATACATACATACATACATACATACATACATACATACATACATACA